TGGCGGGCTCCCGCCCGCGAAACTCATCCCGCCCCGGGAGCTGCCGCCGGTGCCGAAGGACTGAGAGAACATGTGGGAAAAGGTGCAAGAGCCCCCCGGTCCTGTCTGGGAACGCCCTCGCCACGTACCGTACAGTTGGAATTTGTGTTCGTCCTCTACACTTCTCTCTTTATCCCCCCTTCACAGCTTTCTGGTTTTAGGCTACAGTTCTAAGCAGTTTCCTTCTTCCCCGTCCTTCCTAGCTTTCATCAGTCTTGAAAAACAGCCATCGTTAACGAAATAAACAGAAAAAGCCCGCTGCTGTGACAGCAGGTTTTTCCTGTACCTATTCTGTCTGCCCTTCTGCGTTGTTCTGTGTTTTCCTAGAGCTGTCGTCTGGACTGATTGAAATCTGTGAGCCTCGCTTAGCTGAGACTAGAGTTTGATAGAAGCATTAAAGGCAAGTACTGACTTTGCTCCATTTATTCACCTGGTCTAATCCCCACCTGCTGCTTCACTTGCTCTGGGCATTGCTTCTGCAGTTCACAGGGCAATTACTGTAGCTATATAATGTGGATGATAAGGCATTTCTCTTAAGAAGAAACCTACTTGATAAGGTGATTTTTAAAAAAATTATTTTGGGTTTTAGTAGCCTGCATGGAGAGTCAGAGAGCCATTCTGCTAGTGTCTCTCACGTTTGAAGTTACTTAAAATGTAGTTGAAATCATAGTTTTTGGTTAAACCGTGGAATTTTGGTTAAAATGGAAGATGCACAGCTGGTAGAAATAGGTGTTGGCTTGTCAGAGTTACTGAGACAATACAACTTTTCAATGTGTGACAAAATTACTGAGTATGGGAAAAGAACAGGAAAAGTATCATTTAGCTGTTTTAATCAGGGTTTCATGATCTTCCTTTATGCATGTTGTACAGCATTAAACAGAAATGGATAACTTCTTTAAAAATAGGAAGTGAAGTTTGAAATGGTTGATGTCACAGATATTGGAGCATGGAAAATATGAATTTATCCCAAGAGACTACGTTAGCATACCTGACTGCTGGATTTAAATTAGCTGCTAGAAGCAGATTTACAAGGCAATCAAAGTTTGTGTGTGTGTGTAGTTTTTTTTTTTTTCTAAAGTTTTGTTTTGTTTAGTTTTTACTAATTAGTGAAATGTTAAATGCTTGGCAGGACCAGAGGTCTCCAAGTCTCAGTTGATACGATTAACAGCAAATGGGTGGAGAGCAGTGCTAGATAAATTCTTTGTTACTCTGAGAATTCTTCTTCAAAGGAAATAGTTTGGTTTAAATTATTGGTAAGTGGATGGGACTCAGTCTAGCATGAAATCCATGTTCATGGTTATGATAATTGGATGTGAGCTATTACATATACGACTGTATCCCTTTGGATGTTATGGGTTTATTGATGTGAGAGAGTTGTTGGAATTTAGTCTGCTCTAGTTAAACTCCTGGAGTTTGAAATAAACTACACCCATCTTCAACTGTCTTTAAGTTATAAAGCTATCTTTAAATTGATTAAGAGGAAATTTGAGCTAAGCTGAGATACAGGGCATACGGAATTTGTGTTCATTTAGCTATGCAGGCTTTAAAATTAAGATGACTTGAATTTAATTTAGCAGTTTCTGTTTTGTTCAGCTGCCCTGTATATCCATTAGCAACACAGAGGAATCTGCTAGAATGATGAAACTTGAGTACTGTAGAAGAGCAGGCAGAAAGGATGTGGATAATTAATGCTTGATTTATTTATGCTGATGAGTTGCTTTACTCTTTGCCTCACTGGAAAATTGTCGTACATATTAGAGAAAAAGGATTCATTAAACAAAAAGCAGACAGAAAAAGGGAACTCTGTATTTAAATGACACGTCTGTTTCTAGGAGTGAATGTTACAGTCCCAGTGTTTAACAGCTCTTCTTATCAAACATGGGATTATGTTCTAATACCTATTAAATGAATTTACATGTTTTCACATAACAATTCAGGTTTTTGATCACCTTCTGTCTATCTATATCCCCTGTTATCTATAACTTGATGCTTTTTTTTTTTTTCCACCCAATATTACTGCCTTCCTGAAACTTTGTGAATGGTTTTATCTCTGATGCTATCACAACTTTTAAGTTACCGCTTTAAATATTTGCTTCCAGTGGGATATGTTAAAGTGTATAAAAAAAAACAACCCACCTACTTTCCCTCCTCGAGCTTGGTAAGCTGTCTTCAATCATAAAACCCCTCTGTTTTGAGGTAGCCTTTGGGCTACATCAAAACCAGTGTGTTATCCCTGCCTGTCTAGAGGCACTAGTCCTGCTAGCACATACTCGTTGATATAAGAACTTTCTTCTATGCTAAATTAGTAGAATCTTGTTTTATCTTAAAATGTGATAATAATTGGAAATGCTAATGAAGAATGGAGTTCTTGGTTTTTCCAGCACAGTAAGGAACATGTTTTGTGCACACATCTGACATTTTTGTCAGCGCTGAAATGTTGTTGCTTTTAGGTTCTGTGGCACTACATGTTTTAACTGGTTATGTAAAGTGTAATATGCCACTGACAGGCGTTTTGCCTCACGGATGGAGGTATTATTTGGACACATTTTAACTGTATTGACCATTTTCAAGTTTATGTGCAAACAGGCAGCTGTTCTTTTGCTCTTGAGCTCAGTTACACACCTGGTGTATTTCAAATACTAAGCTCCTCTACATTGTTTCAGTTAGGTCCTGCTTTCTGCTGGAATGTGATGGCCAACAGCTGAAAAACAGTTTCCAAATGTCTTGTCAGCTGTAAGTCTCTGGACTATAGTGTTGTTTGTTTGTTTGTTTTTTTCCCTTTTCCATAACACACAAGTAAACGTTCAGCTTTGGCACTGTGCTTGAAATCGAGGGTTGGCGTGTTTCTTCCAGCAGCCTGCCTTAGTCTGTGCTAGTTACACTGCAAACATTCTCGTGCAAGGTCAGGTGTGGATGTTAAGCTTCAGTTTGGACTCTGTGCTGTACGAACTTGCTTGTTGGAAGAGTATTTTACAACCTGAGGAAAAAAAATGTCTTTAAAATACCACTGTCTTGAAGCTTTGACAGCAGGGAATAACTCTGCTCTGTGAGTTACTGTGTTCTTCTGTATCAATTTATATATGACACAAGACATTTATCTTTCCAAATCAGTTGAGATGGTTTGACTTTGTAGCCATTGATACAGTTTTCTCCTTCTCTATGCTTTCTGTGGATCTGGTTCAAGAAAGCTGTGTTTTATTTTATATTAAACTGCTTTCATTGAACTTCAGGGAATTGCCCAAATGAAACAGACAAGTGAATCTTTTCCCTGGTATCATAAATGTAATAAAAAGTTTTTCTTTCAGTTAGATTTAATTTAGAGTTGCTCTAGGATTTTATTGGCACTTCATATAAACAAGTTCTGTGCTCCATTTCTCTCCCTCTATACACTAATACTTTGGATTTGTAACAAGTTTTTACTGTTTTAATTTCAACTGAATTCCCCTTTCAACAGGTTGCTAACTGTAGATCATTGAAATTCTCTTCTTTAGAAGAGTTTATACTGGATGTCATGAACATGAATGATTTTGTGATACTCCCAGGCTCAAAAACTGGAACCTCGGTGAGATTAAAAGCAAAGTAAGTGCATTTTATCTGATTGTGATAGAGATGTTATTTCATCATTTTAATAAGTTTTAATACAGCATTAAATAGAACTTATTTGTGTAAGAGCCAGAGGAATCATCATGTGTTTCTTTTCTAGTATTTTCCCTACACCTTTTTCGATAAGTCTTCCTTTTCTTAGCCTTTAATCTACTTTCTAAGTAAGTTATAGGTCTCACAACTCTGCATATCTAACATGCGTACTTTGTAAACAAACAATACTAAAGAATTCACTGGGAGAATTTCTTTTAATTATGCAACAAACCTGTCTGAATACAGGCATAATTGGATCAGTTTTATGTTGGCCATGCCAAAGCTTATATTGGAATAGCCATCTCGCTGTCAGCAGTCCATGAGTTTGCACCTGACCTGCCCTAAATTTTCCAGAACTGTTTTCAGTCTTGCTGGAAGACTGAATAGTGATGTGCCTTTAATGACAAATTTTTCAACTTTTTTTTTTCTTGCCACTTTAAACTTCTTCAGGTACCTTGCTATTTCTAATGAATGTTTTACCACTTTTATTCCTCCAGAACTGTCAGAGAATTGCAGTTGGAGAAAGTGCAGTTGGAAAGAGAAAACAGAGAGATGGAGGAGAAATTACAGCAACTACAGGCAATCATGAGCAGAGAAAAAGAAGAGAGAAAGTAGGTGACATTTCTGTTTCAAAAAAGGAATCCAGTGATCTGGTCCCTCCACACCTCCCCGTGCCCCAGATGGGAACTCTTGTTGTCTCTGGAATTCACAAAAGTGTTCAGTCTCCTCCCCATGATCTTTCTTCCCAATGATAAACATGCTACCCTAGGAATTTCTTATTTTTAAACTTCCATGTGACATTTCGACTTTTTTTTTTTTTAAGAAGTAAACTGACAGATCCTTCCTGGAAGGGATATTCAGCAGCAGTGATCCCATTTCCTCATTTATCCCCTCTTCCCCCTCTTTCCTCTGTCATGTTAGTTTTAAAGCAGGAGACAGAAACTTTCTCTTCCACCATTTCAGCCTTATTTCTGAAGTTTCTAAAGAGGGTGCTGTTATTCATCTTTAATTAATGCTTTGATCCCATGTTACGTGCATCTGTGTAGCTCTTCAGAAAGACATTTTGCAAATTGGCAGTGGTACCCTGTACACTGCAATTAAAAAAAAAAAAAAGGTTTTCTGTATGATGGAAAACATAGCTTGGGAAGCAAGTGTCATGTAGCAAAGGAAGCTTTAGGTGGAGGTTTAAATCTCTCAGCTCTGTTACTGGCTTGCTCTGAACGTCTGCAAATCTCTGCAACATTCCCTCCCACGCCTTTGTATTTCTGCCTGACATACTCTGTCACCAGAGGTACGGGTGCCTTGGATACCTTGGTGCCTGAGTGTAGGTAATCCTAAGGGCCTGCTGTTTGCAGCTCTTGAAACTCTTGAAACAACAGCTTGAGCTGTTGAGGCAATATTTTCTAGATAGCACATGGCACACTTTCCCCCATATTGTTCTTGTATTGTTCTCATGGCCTTGTGCGTGCAAACCCTGACAGTGTTGTTACAGTGAGTTCAGAGTACAGGGATCACTGGCATTTGCACCACTGGGGGGAAGATCATCCCTTTTGCCTCTTATATCTTTGCCTTACCCCTTGTTTTGTGTACTTAAGTTTTGCTTGATGTTTGGTTTTCTGTAAAACAAAGTAGATCAGTCATTTGAATGCTAAATATTACGCAGTAGTGTATTATATGCAGTGTGCTAAAGCTGAAAATCAGTTTAATCTCCCCTAGGCTTAAATTCTTCCAGGTTTGTCATAGTAGTCAATATTGAAACTGATATTCACTGAAATCTTAATTGTACTTGTGTGTTCCTGGTTTATTAAATCTGCTGTGTTTTAGCTGTGCTGGATGAATGCGTTAGAGTGAATTGGGACAATGAAGACTTATCTGAAATCTACTTCTGTTACATTTTTATTTGACTAAAAGCAACTTTAGAGAATTGATGGGATTTTCTTATGTTTAAAAACTGAGAACAATTTGATGGCTTAAAAGTATTTTCTTACACGTTTGGTGTATTTACTACTATTAAAGTAGGTGTGAAGCAGGTTTCAGTAGAAGGGAGGTGTTTGCGTTTTGAGGAAGTGATGATTCTGTAGACAAGTACTTTATTTTTGTGATGCTCTGTCCTTGTTTAAAAACCTGTAGGAAAACCTTTATGCTTTTCTTGCTTACAGAAGACACAATCTGTAAGTTCTTTCTTGCTCTTGGTTCATAGGAAATCAAGTGCTTATCGTTGGAAATCTGGACAGGCAGGACCAATGACCATCCAAGCCCGAGTTTTTTCACAAAGCAAAGAAAATAATAAGGTAGTAAACTGTCAATGTATTTGCAGGTAAAACTATTTAAAACAAAACAAGCTTTAGAACTATATTTATGCTACAGAACATGAGAATTTTAAATACTGTAAAAATAAAAGGTTAAGCACCTTCTGAGCAAGATTCCAGATTGCTGCTTTTTCCATGCCAAGCTTTGAGCTGCCATTCCTTTGAGCTGGAGGAACATCAAGTTCTGTTTGGTGATCTGTTGTTTTTATTTTAATTGCAATATATAGCAAATTATTGCTTGTACAGATTTAATATTGTAAATGTCTAATTTGGTAGCGATAGAAGTCATCAGGAGCCTCTTTCAAACGTCTGATGTGCATTATGAATCTGAAATACAAAGCTTCGTGTGAAGTTTTGAAGTTCTCTGTCTTCATAGATGAAAGCTATGAGAGAGGCACACAACGTTAAAATACACTATGGTTAAAGTTTTTTTAATTCAGTCGCTGTGTAATGACATCTGCAATCACGGTAGAACTTCCATATGACTCTGTGGTTCATTCTCTCCCCCAGCCCCCCTTCTGCATGTGCTGTAATCTTTATTATGATGCTTCTGGATTTCTTTTAGTAAGTTCAGAAGGAGACTGAGAACCCAGCTTGCCCACAGTGACTGGAAAAGTCCTACCGTCATCCCCTGAGGAGTGATGGTAGTTGGTCAGGTGTGGGTTCAACATTTTTTTTTTTTAAAGCATTCTCTTGGACAAAGACTGGACTCAGTCCATTCTCTTGGACTGGGACGGAATGCTTCTGAGTGTTTTAGAATGGAACTTAGGTTTATCAATTCACTGTTGATTATGATGTCCTTTCTCAGACCTAAAAGGAGGAATGTAGAAATTTCCTTGCTAGATCATTGAAAAAAAATTGTGTTCTTTTTAATATATACATAGCACGCTGTTTTCCCTTTATTTCCTTTTGGAAATGGCTAGAGCAATTTTGTTCAAACTCTCAAAAAATAGTAAGGATAAGGCAGACGTATGGGAATGGTAAAAGTTGATCAAATTTGTAAGTAGCTGAAGCCTGGATGTTGGTGGGAGTGTTATTGCTTCCAACTGTAATAACCTTAATATTTCATTCTCTGGTGAAATAAATTCATCATTTTAATAGCTTAGGCTCTCATCCTTGAGGCTCTATACATCATGGAAGCAAGCATTAGGTGTATCTGTCATCAAATAATGTTCCCAAGTGCTGTTAAAATACCAGTTGCAATAACAGAGCTTATGTTCTTGTTCCATGCATTAGTATGAAAAATCTGTAGGGGATCCCCAAACCCAAACTAATTCAATTTAGAGATACTTCCCCTTTCCTTTAGCAGACATTGATGAGTCTGGAGAGGCATGCAAATTGGACTGAGTGGGACATAAAAAGAGTTTTCTCTCATGAGTGTGGCTTTTTTTTTTTTCTGGAAGCCATGCTACCTATGCTATGTTGAAATGAGAGCTGTTAATTAAGAGAGACCATTTGAAACTGGCTGAAATAAAGATTATATAATTCTGAAGAGAAAACCAGACAATGGCAACATCGGACTAAGCTGTCGCAGTTGCTATTTGAAGTCTTTTGAAGTAGCAGCAGTTTGGTGTGAAGGTCTTCTCAACCAGTACACTCAATTTCAATAAAATTGCCTACTTGTCTGTGATGAGAAGAGAGGATCAGAGTGAAAAAGGTTTACTTTAACCCACCTCTTTCTCTTCCCCTTCTCTGAGACAAGCAACTCAGGGCTGTTACTACTTCAAAGACTTCAGATTTCAGCTGTGATGGCTAAGGGGAAGATGCATGGGGCAGAATTTTCCAAAGAGCAAAATTAAAATGCCTGCAAATGCCTAAGACTGGGGGGGAAGTGAGGATTCAGCATGGGCTCTGCAAAGAAAAACTGACGAGCAAAAATGTTGAAAATTATTCGTTACTGGGGTGCTAGATCATGGAAGGGTAATGAGAAGCAGAAGGAAAGCAAAGTAACACCTTCCACCCCCTGCAACAAACGGTAGGTAGATGTCAGCGGGGGTTGCATGGAGCTGGACTCAGCGTGGTTCTGGAAGCTGTGCGGGTCTGTGCCTGGGGGCAGCGCGTGCCCGTACCTGGCTGGCAGGGACAGTGTCACGTCGTGGGTCTGGAGAGAAACGGCTGTCATGAGCAATACACGGGCTTTTCTCTTTAAATCTGTGCTTAGTTATTTTCCTAGAAATGGTAACATTTGAATTCTATAGAAGTAGAATGTAGAATATAGAATATAGATGGGAGTCCTGTCCCACATGTTGGCCCTCTACAACTCCCTGCCAGGAGGGTGCAGAGAGGGGGGATGAGTCTCTGGAGCCAAGGAGCCAGCGCCAGGCCCCGAGGGAATGGCCTCAAGCTGCCCAGGGCAGGGTCAGGCTGGCTCTGAGGAAGGATTTCTGTGCAGAAGGGGCTGTTGGGCGTTGGAATGGGCTGCCCAGGGCAGGGGGGAGTCCCCGGGATCCCTGGAGGGGTTGAAGAGTCGGGCTGAGCCAGCGCTGAGGGATCTGGGGGAGTTGGGAATGGTCAGGGGGAGGC